TCTTTTCTTCTTCTTTCTAAAGATTTATTTATTTTTACTGAAAAGGCAGTTACAGAGAGAGAGAGAGAGAGAGAGAGAGAGAATCTTCCATCTGCTGGTTCACATCCCAAATGGTCACAATGGCCAGAGCTGGACCAGCCTGAAACCAGGAACCAAGGGTACCTCTTATGGATCGTCCGTGTGGGTGCAGGAGTCCAAGGCCCCCATTGCTTTCCCAGGCCACAATCAGGGAGCTGGATGGGAAGTAAAGCAGCTAGGACTTGAACAGGCACCTGTAAGGGATGTCAGTGCCACAGGAAGAGGCTTAGCCTGTTCAGCCACTGAGTCAGCCCCAAGCTGGGATTTTTCAAAAGTGAGTGCCATGTGAAAGATTTGAGCTCTTTCTAACAGCCTTCAGGGGCCACTCCTGGGCTTCAGTTCACCACTAATACCATACACTAATGTTTCTAGAGAATTTAATGAGAGCAGTGGTAGGCGGCACCATAATTCTAACTTTTGATGTTTATATCCTTTGACCCAGTTCCTGGTGAGAATCTCTCCAGAAGGAACAGTGCGGTCTTCAGAACAAAAGGCTGTGCCACTTAAAAATGATTCTTGCAACTTCATATATGCAATAAACAAATTGAACACTCAACTGCTAGTTTGCTGATGTCACTATATTGTTAGAATCACTGGGTGTCATGAGTAAAATATGGCAGTAATTGCTACCTCCAAAGTTCGTGGGGGATAGGCATTTAGACCAGCAGTTAAGATGCCCAGTAAGATACCTGCACCCCAAATCAGAGCAAGTGGGTTTGATCCCAGTTCCAACTCCTGGTTCCCGCTTCCTACCAGTGCAGACCCTGAGGGGTGGCACTGATGGCTCAAGGAGTTGGGACCCCGCCACTCTCATGAAAGGCCTGGATTGAGTTCATGGCTCCCAATGTTGGCCTGGCACAGTCCCAGCTGGTTCAAGCATCTGTGGGAGTGGACAAACAGATAAGAGCTCTCTCCCTGTGTGTTTGTCTTTTACTTGGTCTCTCAAGAAAATAAAGTTTGTGTGGATTGAATGTCTATGGGAATATCTCCTTAGCACTAGGCCTGACACATAAAACATGTGTTCTACAAGGGCTCAACTCTCTTTCTCTTTTTTAATTTTAATATTTATTTTATTTATATGAAAGGCAGAGTCATGGAGAAGGAAGATGAGACAAAGAGAGAAATCCTCCAGCCACTGGTTCCCAAATGGCAAAAGCCAGTTATGGATCTGATTGAGTTCGTGGTGAGGGGGAACAATTGGTGATAGTAGCAAACCTGAGTGGATTCCCATATATGGTCACATACGGTCTTCCTTTTCATGGAAATGTGTATTATGAAAAATATTGCCTAGATTTCAAAAAAACTTTTGCATAAAAATTATCTTCTTACATTTCATTTTCACTAACTTCCTGAAGTGCCTTACATATATACAAAAATGCAAAAAGGAGATGAGGGTTGTCATTGTAGTGTAGCACATTAAGCCATTGCCTGCAACACCAAGTTCCCAAACACTGAGCCCCTGACTGCCTCCATGCTGGCCGCAGCACCCCCCCAGGAGCAGAAGCAGATGCTGGGTGAGTGGCCAGGTGCTTGCGGAGAAGGGTGGCTGGCCAGGCCAGCAGCGCCTAGCCTTTCCTGAGCTTCCATTTGATTCCTCATGCATCATCCCACCCCCAGGAGAACGATTGTTCCCCCTCATCCAAACGATGCACGCAAACCTGGCCGGAAAGATCACAGGGATGCTGCTGGAGATCGACAACTCGGAGCTGCTGCACATGCTGGAGTCCCCGGAGTCCCTCCGCTCCAAGGTGAGTGGTGCTCACATCCCACAGCTCAGGGGGTCCTCAGTGCCCCTGGACATTATGTGCTTAACAGTGGACTGGGGTCTGCAGTGAGGCCTCAGTCAGCAAGGTGCCATTCTGGGCTGTGAAGATACCCAGCAGCTGCTTCCCAGGTAACACGACCATTTAACCAACTCTATGACCACAGCAGCATCTATTCACCTTAAGACTGAGCTTTGTGCCTCAGGACCACAACCTCCTTGTGGAAAATGGACAATTATAAATGATCAAGCAATCAAAACATAGCTTCTTGTTCTGTAGTGTTTGGGGGCACCACTCAGTTCTTCAGTTCTCTGACACCAAGTGGGTGTCCCAACAATTCAATTTTAACAGTGTCCAGGAGGAACACAGACCCCTGCAGTTTAAGGGTAAAATGCTATAAGATTGTTCCCACTTCACACACTACCTACAAATAGGTCCCTGTGCTATCCACACTTCTACCAATTAGATTGTAGAGCTCCCATAACACCTCCATCTTTTTTTTTTTTAAGACTTATTCATCTTTATTGGAAAGTTAGATTTACAGAGAAAAGGAAATATAGAAAGATCTTTCATCCTCTGGTTTATTCCCCAAGTGGATGCAATGGCCATAACTGATTTGATCTCAAGCCAGGAGCTTCTTCCGGGTCTCCCACATGGGTGCAGGGTCCCAAGACCTTGGGCCATTCTCTACTGCTTTCCCAGGCCACAAACAAGGAAATGGAGGGGAAATGGTGCAGTCAGGACATGTACCAGTGCCCATGTGGGATCCCAGTGCATGCAAGGTAAGAATTTAGCCTTTGAACCATTGTGCCAGGCTCAATCCTTCCATCCTGATAATTCACTAGAAACCACAGAGCTCAGAAAAGGGGTCCACTATGATTGAAGTTCATTATAAAAGAGACAACTAAGACATGGCTCAAAGGAAGAGATGTGCACAGCAAGGTGGAATGGAGGGAATAGGCAGTGCTTCCAAGCACTTGTCAGTTACACCACCAAGCACAGCAGCCTGGGAACTCCCCAACTCCACCTAGCGTTTTCAGATGGAATTTCCTTACCTAGGCACAACTGGTGATTAGCCGCTGGAGATTGCTTTCTCTCCTCTCCTTGGAGGTCAGGGGGTGGGACTGAAAATTCCTCCCCTGTATTCATGTAGTTGGTTTCTCTGGTAACTAGACCCCATCCTGAAGCTGCAAATCACCTACTTAGCATGAACTAAGGGATGGCCAAAATAGGCTGATCACTGGGGCCAGCACATTGGTTTAGCTGGCTAATTGCTCACCTCCAAGTGCCAGGATCCCTATGGGCACCAGTTTGTGTCCTGGCTGCTCCACTTCCCATCCAGCTCCCTGCTTGTGGCCTGGGAAAGCAACAGAGGATGGCCTAAAGCTGTGGGACCCTGCACCTACTTACAAGACTGGCAAGAAGCTCCTGGCTCCTGGCTTCAGAGCAGCTCAGGTCTGACCATTGCAGCCAATTGGGTAGTGAGTCAGTGGATGGAAGATCTTTCGGTTTATCCTTCTGTATGTAAAACTGTCTTTCAAAAAAAATTTTTTAATAGGCTCATCATAAAGAACAAAAATTGTTCATATCATAAGGAAATTACAAGGTTTTTAGGAATTAGACCAAATATGTATTTGCTTTTTATTATTACACTACACTCACCTAAGAGAAACCTGGTTAGATTCTTCTTGAGAGTGGTCTTGTGGGTGTGCAATAGTGAGGGTAGACAAAGAGTTCTCCTGATCCAATTTCAAACCTCATTCCTAATGAGCATCATTCCTTCGTGTGGCCTGGGGCTGGTGAAGTCAACTTTGCATGCAGTCACACAGCCCGTAAGGCTCTTGGCATCAAAGATCTTGACCCAGTGGGAGGGAGACGCACATCTGACTATAGTTACAGGTGGTGTTCCAATCCACTCTGAACTTGGGGGGCCATAGACTCTTGTCCAGAGGGGTTTAGGTAAGTGACCCTAACTAGGACCTCTGGCAAGACTAGTAGGTGTTTCCAGTTAGGAAAAAAAAAGAGACTGGAGTGGTGGCATAATAGGCTAATCCTCCTCCTGTGGCACTGGCATCCCACATGGGCTCCAGGTCATATTATGGCTGTTCCACTTCCCAGCCGGCTCCCTGCTTCTGGCCTGGGAAAGCAGTCAAGGAAAGCTCGAAGCCTTGGAACCCTGCACCCATGTGGGAGACTCGGAAGAAGCCTCTGGCTCCTGGCTTCAGATCAGATCAGCTCCTGCTACTGTGGCCACTTAGGGAGTGAATCAGCAGATGGAAGATCTTTTTGTCTCTCCTCTCTGTAAATCTGCCTTTCAAATAAAAAATATTTTAAGAGGAAAAAAAGATAAACATGTGATGCCATTGCTTTCTTCTCTTTTCTCTTTCTTTCTTTCCTCTCTCTTTCCTTCCAACATAGTGGCAGGAGGGGGTTCCAAGGAAGGAAAAGTGCCCTGTCACATTGTTTTCTGACAACTTGTTAATCTGTTTGTTAATCTGTGATTAATATATGAGTGGGTTTAGTCCAAGAGTCAGCAGAGCTTTTTCCTGAAGAGCTAGATGGAAAAGAGTTTATTTTATTCACTTTGTAAATGAATAGATTCTAGTCTTTGCAAACCATAAGTCTCCTATAATGCTTTAAGGAATGGCTATGCTGTGATGCAGTGAAACTCCATGAACGGACACTGAAAACGGCTTCATAAAATTTTTACGCGCCACGAAATATTCCTGTTTCAGTCAACAAATGTAAGACGTAAAAACCCTTCCAAGCCTCCCGGTTATGTAAAAATAGGCTGGCGGGGCGGTGCGGCCCACAAAGCGCATTTTAATGGATGCTGATTGCTTGCCCGCCGAGCCCAGGCTGACTTCGTCAAGCTCTGCTTCCCCAAACAGCGTCAGCCCGGGAGTGGGCGGCCCCCATCCACTCATTCCCACCCAGCACTGCTCCGGCCGCTGACTCGTACCTGCTTCCGCCCCTAACCGGGCCCCTGACTCCGGCCGCTGACCGGGCCCCTGACCCGCACCTGCTCCGGCCGCTGACCCGGTCCCTGACCCGCACCTGCTCCGGCCCCTGCTCCGGTCCCTGACCCGCACCTGCTCCGGCCCCGCCCGCAGCTGCAACCCGTGTGGGGCGGGACTGTGAGCGAAGGGGCGGACCGATCGCCGGCTTCCGGCGGAAGAGCGCGGGAGCAAGATGGCCACCACCAAGCGTGTGCTGTACGTGGGTGAGCAGGCGCGGGCACAAGGCGGAGTCTGGGCGAACCGGGAGCCCCGTGGGTCGGGGGGGATGGGGCGGGAGTCTCTCCATCCCGGGAGGGCGGCGAGCGGCTGTTGCTTAACCTCAGATGTGAGCCCTTGGCGTTGGCTTCCTTCCTGGTCTGCCCAATAGGGGAATATCATGACCCGCCAATTGTTCGCGCCATTCATTTTACTAACAGTGATTCCAGCAGTAGCTAAGTTCCTGCTCCAGCCCTTCCGCCGAAGGAAGGAGTTTCCAGTCTAGACATAAAAACATGGGAATCCTCTCAGTAGCACGGTTTCTAAGTGCTGTGGTCGGGGCTGTCAGTGATGACAGGGGTCGGAGGGAAATAACCGTTCACTTGGCACGGTGAGGGCCACCTTTCCGCATGCGCTGACGGCGGAGCTGATGGACAGGAAGTAGCCAGATAACCACAGGAGAGCCAGGGCTGTTCTAATGCAAAGCGGCGGCCAGACCAGAGCAGAACCCCGCAGGAGTGAAATAGCTTGACCCCTGGGGACAATAGGTGAATCAATGAGGGGGAAGCTTACCAAGTTGGGGAAGGAAAACCAGAAGTTGGAGAGTGGTCCAGAGCTGGGGTTATTAAAAACCTAAGGAGTTTGCACTGCATCCTGTGGGAATCTGGTGATGGATTCATGTTAATTGGCCTTGTGGAATTGCTAGAGGCCATGGAGTTAGGCAGCTGTTAGGTTAATTCTGGGACCAGGTGAGATCTGAAGGACAGGTGAAGAGTGGTTCGTAAGTGTGGGTGGGTGTTGAGGGGCTGTTTGGGAGGCGGTGTTGGTGTACTCAGAGGGCTCAGGGAAGCACCCTGACTTAGCATGCCCACCGGGCCGCAGGCACCTCTGCAGGAGTGGAGGACAGTGGCTCAGAAGCCCCTTGGTTTATTTGCAGGTGGACTGGCAGAGGAGGTGGACGACAAAGTCCTGCATGCTGCTTTCATTCCTTTTGGAGACATCACAGATATTCAGATTCCCCTGGATTATGAGACAGGTGGGTTCGCTTAGCAATTCTCAGGTTCAGAACTCAGGCCAGGAAGAAAACTCAGTCGCGTTTGGATTCCGTTGGTTAGCATGACAGTGTCCTTGATGTTGAAGGAGTGGTCTGAGACTGTGCGGTAAATACATTCCAGATTCCCATCTTGAACTAAGATGCATTTTTCAGTAAACTAGAACCAAGAGGATGTGTTTTAAGCTACAGTGAAATCCTGAGTGTTCTTCCTGCTTCCTTCCTGGCAGCTGTGCTAGTCAACATGGCAGCTTGAAAGCCTTCATCATTACTCACCTAGGTGACCTGCAGTCCTGTTTTCTATTCTGACCTTTGCTGTCCTGTGTGAGAGCGTTAAGCCCAGCTCTGTCACCTATGACGCATCTGAGTGCTATAGAAAGATCTTCAGCCTCTGGGCTTGGGCAGTCTACTTGCAAAGACAGTAAGGCTGTATTAGCTTTCTTAGGGACTTTGGTGATTCTTTAATGAAGTTGGCAGTATTTCCCCCCCACACCCCCCAACAGAATTCTCCTGAGGATAATGACCGAGTTTCGTATCAGGCTTTAGGAGGCATATGTTATATCCAGTTGATGTTTGGAAGGGATATTTAGCTAAGTAACTGAAGGGTTAAATGTTTTTGTTTTTCTGGTGGTCTTGCATGCAGAGGTTAAAGCTTAAAGCTTGGCTGCAGTGGAAGAAAGTTCATTTTAAAGATTAAACATGTAATTCATTATTTAGTTCTGTGCACTAAAAAACACAATTTGTTATTACTTAAACTGCCATTTAAGACTCAGAGAAGGTGATTCCTCCTTCCCAGTGACTGTGTGGAACTTCTGGTCTCTGCTTTGGTAGTAACTGACAGCACCTTCTTTGTGACCGTCCATTTGCTTCCCATTCCCTCACACGGTAGTTACCTGGTTTTGTCTTTTCCTTTTTACAGAAAAGCACCGAGGGTTTGCTTTTGTTGAGTTCGAGCTGGCAGAGGTGAGGAATTGTCACCTACCTGTGTCTAGTCTTTGGTGCACATTATTGTTAATGGTGACCAGGAGTCTGCTCTCCCATTGGTCAGGTTGCTGGGTCTAAAGTGGATGGTTGTGGAGAGACCAGAGCTGCTGTGTGAAAAAAAACTCTCACTTATTCCAACTGTAGCCTGTGAGTTACAGCTCAGTCCTTTGTCAGGCTGTGTCTCTCTGGCTATGCAAAGCTCCCAGCCCTGTTCAGGCACACTCTTACCTGGTAATTATTTCTTGTAATGTCAGCTATATGACTACCGAGCAAGCACGGGCACAAGCGGACTCTGGACCAACCGGGCCCCTGTGGGTCGACAAGGGGTTGGGGAACACACTTTCCATCCTGGGAGGGCAAAAAATGGCTGCCAGGAAGTACTTGCTGGATACATTTGGCATAGATGGGAAAAGTGGAAGTGATTCCTGTCTTACTGTTCCTGAGTATGTGTTCAAACAGCTGCAAATCTTAACTTACAGCTTGTATTTTGCTTTGGCAGGATGCTGCAGCAGCTATCGACAACATGGTATGGTCAGAGGCCTTTCCAACTGAGTTGCTTTTTGGTGATACAGAGGGTCCATAGTCAAATTGGCTCTCCAAACCTCTAGAGTTACAAGGTGGTATAAGGAGGTTAAAAATCTGCATATGAACATATTCACTGCTCAATTGATCATTTGTAAAGTTAGTTCTTACTCAGGCATCCTTTCTCATTGAATAATAATGTAAATCCCAGTCAGTCTTGTTGACCCGTCTGACCAGTTGCCCATGTTTGGGATAACTTGCAAACACAATGCAGGTTGATTGCACTGTGCAACTGCATGTTTGCAAAAGAGGCAGGATTTCATGAAGCATTAGATCAGTTAATAATTGATAACTTCACTAAGCATGAATTTATACAGATGCTTTCAATGTCCTGGAAAAGTCTGTGGTAAAAATGTGCTATTGCATAGTTTGCTATTACGGGCACAGTTGTTAAGGGAGGTCAAATTATGAGCATGTCTCAGAAGGAAATGGGAAGCTGCCTGGTTCTCTTTTCACCTAATACTGTACGCAGCTAAATTTTCAATCCTTTCAGAATGAGTCTGAGCTCTTTGGACGGACAATTCGGGTCAATTTGGCCAAGCCAATGAGAATTAAGGAAGGCTCTTCTAGACCAGGTGAGTGGGAGCATCCCACAGATTCCCTGTCACGCCCCCAGGCTTGGCCTTACTTGTGTTTTATCCTTGTTTACTTGTACTAAGTGGTGCTTTCTGGTGGATAGGAATGGACGGTTCACATTGGCTAAGACCACGCAAGCTTCCCACAGCCAGAGCGATTGTTTCTCCCATGAGAGAGACCGTGCCTCATCTCTTAGCTTTCCCAGTTTTCTCAACACTCCATTCCTGAGGTGCCTCACCAAGGGCTGCGTCTGACAGTCTGTGCCTTGGCCATGGCTTTGGTACTTACCCCTGCTACCTGAACTTGAGCACTGACCTCTGGGGAGCCGTCCATATTCCCAGGAACTGTGCACTGGGACTCCTGTGGCCAAAAGAGCCACATAGTGGCTTCCACTTCTGTGACCAGAGCAGTTCGTTAACAGTTTACTGAGAACTTAACATTACTAACAATTTGTTTGATTCTTTCAGTTTGGTCGGACGATGACTGGTTGAAGAAATTTTCGGGGAAGACTCTTGAAGAGAATAAAGAGGAAGAAGGGTCAGAGCCTCCCAAAGTAGAAAGCCAGGAGGTGAGAGTGAAGGCGAGAGGCTGCCCTGTTCACGGGAGACTTGTGAGGTTTTTTTTCGGTTTGACAGAGATGTGCCAATATAGGTATAAATCAGAGAGGGTAACTAATGTGCTCTTAGCACTCGGTGAAGGCAGCATTGAGTGAATTGAAGGAGGAAGCTTTGGCTGCCTAGTCCTGGTTGTGTCCTGTGTTATGAGCTGCTCAGCTCTGCGTGATCCAGATTTATGATTGCTATTGACAATGAGGACACCTCAGCTGCTCCTCTTTCCCCCTCCTGACTGAAGACTGGGCCGCCTCTCCTGCTTGCTTCCTTGTGGCCAGAGTGTGGCTACACAGGGCATGATGTAGAGGCCAGAGGGGCTGACGTATGAGTGGGTCTGATTAACTAAACCAGGGCCGGAAGATGTTGAGAGCCAGAAGAGTGTCGCGCTGTGACCATAGGATAGGGACACAAGATGATGAGACTGCAAGCCTAGGGATGGGGTTGAGGGAGATGGTGCTGGGCTCTGTGGTCACTGAATATATAGCTGAGTACCATGATCACAGCTCCTGCCTCCTGCAGCTCTGTCAGCACCAAGATCCTCCCTGTCAGCCGTGTGTTCCAACCTGCTCACTTGGCAGTGTGTTCTGAGTGTGTTTTTTTGCAGGAGATTATGTTTACTTCTGTGTGGGAAGGCAGGCAGTTCCCTCTAACACTTGCTTTTATACCTAGGGAGAGCCTCCTGCGAAAAAGGCCCGGTCAAACCCTCAGGTGTACATGGACATCAAGATTGGAAATAAGCCAGCCGGACGCATCCAGATGCTCCTGCGTTCAGATGTCGTGCCCATGACAGCCGGTGAGCAGAACTCTGTCCAGACCAGCAGGAAGCTGTTGCCTGACTAGTGAGACTTCAGGGGATTGCATTACTTCGGTTCTTCTACTCTTTACAATTTTTTCTGACTTGAGTCAGAAAAAATTTGAAGCATCTCAGCTCAGTTCTTGGGCTGTAGGATGCGTCAGAGCAGGAATTTCTGTCATAATTGTGCATTACTTTCTTTTCCTGTATTTTTAGAGACCAACATTTTTTATCTGCTGACTCAACCTCTATAAACCTATTACACCTAAGGTTTGAGGCTAAACTGAATTCAGGAACCTGGAACTCCCGTGGTGTCCCGTGTGGAAGGTAGTGGATCAACAAGTATTTAGGCCATGCCATGCTGCTTTCCGAGACACATCAGCAGACAGCTGGCTTGAGGACAGACTAGCTGGGCCTCAGAGTGGTGCTCTGATACAGGATGCCAGATCATAGCAACAGCTTAACTTGCTGTGCCACAGTGCCAACCCTGCTGAGTTTCTTAAATATTGCTTCTAGTTCTTTTAACATTGACTTACTGTTTTTAATTTTTATTTATTTAATTAATTGTAAAGCCAGAGACAGAGGTTTCTCAGTCTTACCAAATACCTGCAGCAGCTAGGACTGGGCCAGGCCAGAGCCGGAAGGCAGGAGCTCCGTCCAGGTTACCCATGTAGGAGTCCTGCTCTCTGTCGTGGGGTGAAGTAGCAGGAAGCTGGAATGGAAAGCAGAGCAGGACTAAGACCTGGCACTACAACAAGGGAGGCAGATGTCCAAGCTGTGCTGATATGCCTGTCTCCTCTGAAACAGTAATTTGATTTTTTTATCTGGACATAGAAAGTTAATTTCACAAAGCTGACTTTGAAAAACTAAGTTGTCCCCTGGTGTTGTGTTCCTCCCAGCCACCATTTGCTGCTCCTTGCAGGCAGCTCATTTTGACTTTTAGCCAGTTCCTATAGTTTTTACTTCGTGTAATTGTACACTTATATTGCTGCTTCCTAGTTTTTTCATTTTAAGCTTTGTCTTTTGGCTTCCTACTTGAAAAGAAAGAATTAGTAGCTTCTGAAAACACTTCCCTGTATAGATTCTGTAACTGGAAGGCTGCCTTAATGGCTAATGATATAGGCATTTTTAATATATTTCTTGGCCATTTGTATATCTTTTATGGAGAAATCCTATTTAACTCTTTGGCCTATTCATTAACTAAGTTATCTTTATTTATTGTTAAGTTTTGAGTATTGTATATTCTGGATATTGAACATGATACCATGACCAACCTTAGGAGATGACTGTACAAGCATTTAACCATGTGTTGCTTTTAAACTGTAGCAATTTTTTCTTCCTCACCCCAGAGAACTTCCGTTGCCTGTGCACCCATGAGAAAGGCTTTGGCTTCAAGGGGAGCAGCTTCCACCGTATCATCCCCCAGTTCATGTGCCAAGGTGGTGATTTCACAAACCACAATGGCACCGGGGGCAAGTCCATCTACGGGAAGAAGTTTGATGATGAAAACTTCATCCTCAAACACACAGGACCAGGTAGGAGCCTCTCAGTGTAGTGACGCATGAGCCTGGGCCAGGGCAGGATGGCTGTGCAGGCTGGACGCATGGACTGTGGTCGTGGACAGGTAGTCTAGGGGAGACCCACTGCTGGGCAAGGGAGACGCACCCAGCCCCACCACAGAGGACCGGCTTGCTCACACCCTGTGCTGTCCACCATCTGCCTACTGTGTTTGCACGCCCTGTTAGCCTCGCTTCGTTCTGTGGTCTGCTGTTGTAAGCTCTCCCTCTGTCCTAAATGTCGCTGTCTCTCTCACCCCACCCCAGTCAAACTTACTCTAGTAAACTCTCAGTGGATGGTCCCCCAGCAGCTAGAGGAGGGAAAAAGGCAGCAACAACACAGAATTGTACTGAATAATCCCACTTGAAAGTTACGTCTACAATTTTGTGGGTGAAATGCTTGGCAGCCTGACTCAATTTCCCAAGTTATGCTATGTCCCAATCAGAGGTGTTGATGCTGTTTTCTTTCCTGTCTCTGTCTGCATGGGCATGCTGACTTCCCTCTCGTTTCAGAAGAACTGTCCACGCATGACAGGCTCCCCTGCCTCAGCCCTACTGAAGACCTGGCCTTCTGCAGGAGTCCATTTCTGCCTCCTGTAATCCTCTGCCCCGGGGTCCAGTATCTCTGACCAGAGGCATCCTTGGGCCTTCTCCCCTTCTAGTTTACTTTTTAGCAAAACATCCTGGAAAAGTGGCTTACACATACTGCCTTTCTAAGCGCTTCCACCCAGATTTCAGGCCCACCTCTCATTGAAGCCCCTTTTACCAAAGATGACATCAGGCCAGTGATGTGACACAGTAGGTTAAGCTACCAGTTGGGACACAGGAATCCCCTATCCTAGTACAGTTTGAAGTCCTGGGCACTTTACTTTTGATCCAGCTCCCTACTAATGCACCTGGCAGGGCAGCTGAAGGTGACCTAAGTATGTGGGCCCTTGGCACCCACATGGGAAATCTGAGTTCCAGCTCCCAGCTTCAGCCCAGCCCAGATCTGGCTGTTACAGCAGCCATCTGGGGAGGGAGCCAGTGAATGGAAGATGAGTCTTCCTTTCTCCCCTGTTCTAAGTAATTAATTTATTAACACTGAGCTCCTTGATGTCCCACTCCTGGCAGGGCTCGGCCCTCGTCTAGTTGGCTGCATTTCCCTTCTTTGTTGTCTCTTCCTTTTCCTCACCCTTAGAAGCGGAGCAGGCTCAGGGCGCAGTCTCCTGTTCCCCACAGAGCCGTGTTTCTTGTGCTCTATTTTCCTAACTGATGGTTTGTGGCACTGCTCTTCACTGTGCACAGGCAGTGTGTCCAGCCTACCCATGTCATTTTTTAAAGTTAATGTCATATGTTTTATTTTTCTTGAGTATGCCCTAAAAGCATTCTGACATATGTGTTTGACACTAACTTTTACCATAGAGGTTTTTTAATTAATTTATTCAAATTTTTAGCAAGTGCAATGTATTCCATTATTTTAACTCAGTAACACCCTGTAACTGGTTGAAAAGAATACATCACAGGAAAGGGCATTGTAATGAACAAGTGCGTGCCTCAGGATGTGTGTGTTTAGGTACAGCCATGCCCAGAGACACAATGAGCATTCAAATGTGTGCACATGTACACTTAGCAGTGTAGACAGGGTGTCAACCGGCACTTGCGTATGATAAACAGTATTGTTGGTGATGTAATTGGGAGAACAGGTAGATGAAGTTGATTAGAGTCCAAATTTTAAAAAACACTATTCCCAGGAATGTCCCTATAAAACAAAGCAGAAAACCTCCAGAATATTGGGCTTGTGTATATAGGAGAAATAGGTCTTAGGTACAGATAGTTTTAAACATTTTTCTTTAATACTCAACATCATATCAGTATCTTTTTTTTTAAAAAAAAAAAAAAAAGAAATTTATTTATTGTAAGGTCAGCATTACAAAGAGAGAGATATCTTCCATCCACTAATTCACTTTCTATATGGCCACAGTGGCCAAGGCTGGGCCACGTGGAAGCCAGAGCCTTGACCTCTGGTGAAAATGTGAGCATCCCAGGCAATGTCTTAACCATTTTCCCTCATGCCCACCACCTCACAGTATCGCTGACAGTCAGAAATTCATTCAGGTTTCCAAAGAACTCTTAAGGGCAGAACAAACCCCATGGAGACCCACTTGTCCTAGACATTCTGTTTTCATAGAAGACACTTAGTAATTGTTAAACGAATAAATGAAACAAGCCAGTATAAAATGATTGAAACAACCTGCCCATCCTGCTTCACCATCAGCTGAGTGGAGGACAAGGTGGCCATATCCACGTGCTCTGTGCATCCCAGAGTCCCAGCCTGTGTGGCTGTGGTTGCCGACAGGCTGCACCTGCGTTTTTTGGGGCGCGGGTGCTGACCAACTCCCACTTTTCTCTCAGGCCTCCTCTCCATGGCTAACTCTGGCCCTAACACCAATGGCTCCCAATTCTTCCTGACGTGTGACAAGACAGACTGGCTAGATGGCAAGCATGTGGTGTTTGGGGAGGTTACTGAAGGCCTGGATGTGTTGCGGCAGATTGAGGTGAGTGGCAGGGACCCGGCCCCTGCTGGAAGGATTGGGCTGAAGCAGCTTCTCCTAACAGTCCTGTCCTGGGGTGGAAGGTTCTAGGCTGGGGTGGACACTGGGGCTGGGGTGCCCAAGCCAGTCTTCATTCCCCACCTGCATGGCCCTGACTTCTCTCCTGCTCTTCCCACCAAGGCCCAGGGCAGCAAGGATGGGAAGCCCAAACAGAAGGTGATCATCGCGGACTGCGGCGAATTGGCGTGAGCTGGCACCCTCCTGCCCTCCTCTCTGCCCTTGCCCTGCGTGCCCAGGAAGCAGTCAAAGTCTCAGGGACCCACATGGAAAAGCGCTCATGGCCTGAGTCCTCAGGGCCAGCCTGGAGTAGCTCCTGCAGACAAAGCCTGGACATCCCAGTGTGGCTGCAGCCAGGAGCAGCCAGTGTGGAAGAAGCCAGTGCAGGTGCCCCTGCCCATGGGACCCCCAGAGTTTTTTCTCTGCCAAAATAAACCCTTGTCCTCAGACTGCCACCTTTGGCCAGGTCCTAGAGGTTGTCAGAGATTATATCTGTGGCTAACTGCCCCCCTGCTCCAGACAGGCTGAGAAGTGCTCAGGATCTGATATCCTTCCCGTAGATTCTATTTCCCTTCAAGTCAGCCAGGTCTTTTTGATACCAGGTGAACTGTCAAGACCGGGAGATCATACAGGGGTGCCTCCTGTCTTCCGTAGCCTCTGCTCCAGACCTCATGCTGTTGGCCTCGTAGCAGGTGTACTCACCAGTGATCACACATTTATTTTGTGCTTTTCCATTATGCAGATTTTTTTAATGCTACAGCCAAAGTGCAGTCTCTGTGCCAGGAGCCGCACTTGCTTATCGGGAGATAGGAAGTCAGCAAACTACCAGGACTTAAGCCGACCTACTGCCTGTTTTTGTGAATAAAATTTTATTGGAACACATCCCCAGCTGTTTGTTTCCACACTGTTGACTTCCTCACTGCAATGCAGAGTGAATAGTTGGTGATAGACACTGTATGGTCTGTGGACTGTGTGTGGGGAGGTGCTCTGAAGAACCAGTGGGATGTGTATATATTTACAGAGGGGAAAAGATTGCTCTTAAGAGATTGGCTCCTGCAGGCATAGAACATGGCAAGTCAAATCTGCAGGGCATGATCCAGGCTGGAGACTCGGGGACAGACTGATGATGCAGGTTTAGGTCTGGATGCAGAATGTCTCTCACTGTCCCTGAAGGCTTTCAGCTGGTTGAGTGAGAGCCACTCACTTGGAGGGTAACCTATTTTATTCATTCTACTGACATAAATACCAGGGTACTTCAAAAATTATCTGGAAAAGCTACAAAATCTGTCATGTTTCCAACTTGCAGAAATACTCTCATTTTAATCCATTGAAAAAATCTCCACAGACATTTCTGAACTGGTACTTGACCAGAAAGTGGGCATCACAACCCGGCCACGTTGCTTTAGGATATGCACCCATCACCTTCCCAAAGCCTGAAGTGAGAGGATTTTACGGAGACCATTCCGAATCCTAACCTCTCCTGGGAGGGGGTGACATGCTGACCCTACGCTGGCCCCTGTGTGCGTAGGTCAGACTCACCTAGAGCTTTGCAGCAGTCAACTGGATTTCTTTTTTCTATCTCCTCATGTTGGGATGCACGGTATACTCAACAGTGCCCCCTCCATGCACAAGCTGGCTGAGAGGCCAGTCACAGGCATTTGTCAAGCTGGGCATGACAGTACTGACTTTAGGGCTTACCTGGGAACCAAGAGAGGAGCTTAGTGCAGCCAACCCTCTCTGAGAGCCTGGTAAGGTGGAGGCCGGTGGGCAGGCCTGCAGGCTCGGCAAGTCTGGAGTCCACAGCAAAGCCCCGGCTAGGCAAACCAAGGCCTAGGTGATAGGAGGCCATCTATGATGGTGTGGCAACACTATGCCCATGCTGATGTCATGGGACTGGACCTCCATTATGCCTGTGAGGAGGGGATAGCTGGGGTTCGTGCCCTGAGGGGAGACATAGTCATGGTCCCCATGACTGTCCTGGGTCTCCGTGAGGAGACACCAGAAACGGTCCTACTCTTTGAGGCAGGAAGGGAGACAGACCCCAAGGCCTGGGAAAAAGCATGCCCCATAGTGTGTTTCAGCTGCTTGTGGCACAAACCTGACAGCCAGGGAGAACCCAAGCTTGTCCGGGGAGTGGACTAAGGACGTGAAGGGACCCTTTCTGCACCCCGAAGAACCAGGCTGCTTTTCTTGGGACTCCTCGACTCCTGTTCCCAAGCTCCAGGACAGAAGCAGTCTTCTGCACGAAACACACACATCCACTTACTAAGACATTCAGTACCAGTGGAGTGGCTGTACAAAGGCATAGGCCAGAGCTGGACGCGGCGACTCTGTCCATCTCATGCCTGCCCTTGAATGCAGGCACCTGGCACAGCAATGCAAAGAAGGAACTACAGAATGACCAGTAGTAACAGTTTGAATCTGGTGACAACAGGAAACTGGAGAGCCATGTTTCAAAAAAAAAACTTTATTAACAGGGAAACTTTCACTATATAATAAAGGAGGAAAAGCACATCACAGATTTATAGAATACAGCACGATCCCAAATTTGTAGAACTTTCTGGAGTGTCCTTAACATTTGCATGTTGAGCTTAAGGAAAAAATCCTACACATGAAATCACCAGTTCTTATCTGAGCCATGAAACTGGTGATTTGATTTATAGTTTGTGGTTTGGAGGAAAAAATGGGAAAAATTTTAAGTGAATCAGGTGCTAGCCTAAGACCTTCCCCTAGTAGCAGGACACCCTATGAGTAGGAGAGTATCCCTATTCAAGTTGTCGCAGAGGCCCTGGGTGGTGTTTGGGGTCCTAGTGTCTCAGACAACATGGACTCTGGCTATGCTGCCTTTCCTGTTAGGAATTTCTCTAGAACATCTTCCTTCCATATCTTGGATACCACTAACCCGATGCCACAGCCTCCGGGACAGGATGGCAGTGCAAGGGCCCCTGCTCCTGGGCACGTGGGAGCCTGTTATTGTCTGTATCTTCCCTTCTTGTTAGCTCACTGATTCCTCATCAGGGTCAGTGGATTGGATCTGACCACTCCCACGGAACCTTCTTTTTAGTCTGACACAACCAGATAATCAGGCCATGCCTTGAGCAAGGAAAAGAGAAATGGCGATGCCCATGCTGCCAGCCTGGGCCACCCACCTCAACGCCATGCTGGGCTCAGCAAACAACTCACTCATGGGAGGAAATGTGTGGCTTTTGTGTCCAGTTGCTGCTCCAGGGCTCTTTCTGTTTGATTTCACTTGCTAACTATCTGGATGGCAGAAATCACTTGAAGTCTGAAGGCCTGGTTAAGTAGGTGAGACCTTACTGTTTTTCAGTTGTTCTGCATGAAAAAAGAAGATTGCGAGTCCTATTAGTTCCTGCCAGGCATGACTTGATGGGCCAGAAGAATGGTGAGCACCAGCTCCTGTAAGGGACAGCCACCTGGCCCCAAAAGGGCTCAGTGTGAGAAAAGGCTTGGCTGACAGATCTAAGGGCCCTTTGGAGATCAAATGAGGCGACTCCCTCAGCTTTCAGGTAGAAAGTGGAGCCCCAGGTAAGGACACTCCTACATGAGTCACATGTCCTTTCCTCCATGCCAAGCCTGGGAGCCCTACGCTGCCAGGGAACTCATGAGGTGCAGGCAGGCTGGACCTGCCATCTGTGTGCATGGCAGGCTGAGGGGTGGTGGGGTTGAGCAGGGTTTCCTCTCCCTCGGCACCTGCACAGAGAAGCCTTTGCAGGTGCAGGAGAGCCGCCCCACAGCATGGCCCCAGCCCCCTACCCCTTCCCTACAGCCCATCCTCAGGGATATGCAGCATGAACAAAAGACGCATCCTTGGGACTGCAGCAGTCCTACCTCAGCTGGGTGTGCCTGTGGTCAGGGTGGACCCAGAATCTACTTTAATGACAGAGTCCAGACAGTTGGACTCTGTCTGTCCCAGCAGGTAAATTATAGGCTTTGCGAGTCAGAAATCAAATAAACACCACAACTCCCAGCGCTCCTGCAGGGAGCACAGCGGTTTCCGGAACAGTGGAGGCTGAGACGAGGCTCCCCACCCAGCTCGGCCTAATTACCGCCTGTCCGGGGACAGGGGCCTTCCCTTTGACTCACAGGTCTGAGAAAGAGGACAGGGCTCTTCTACACGCAGGGTGACACAGACTCAAGGGACTGGCCTTGTTTGTGACAACTTGGTACCCACGGCAGGTGCTGACAAGCCCCTGGCCCTGTGCCAGACCTGCCCAGAGGCTGCATCACTAGTGGCAGAGGACAGCACACAGTTTGCACTTCCTGGGGGCCAATCAGTTGGCAGTGGATGCTGAAGTCCTGTGCTGACATGGGCAGATGTAGTTGGAAGGAGTGTCAAGATGGATTATTGCTGTCTGCCCACAGAAGGGAATGGAGATCAGGGTATTCTGCGGCCTACCATCATGGCGGGCCGCCCATGCCACTATGCTCAATGAAATGGGACCTTTCCCTTGTGGGCCCAGGCATGAACAGAGACTTCAGTGAGTTGGAAGCCAGGATGTGTATTTCTCCAAAGCGAAATGTCCATATTCAGCATGTTCTGCCCTGTGGCAGCCAGCAGCCGACCCAAGGCAGGAAGCCCTGGGCAGTACGGACCCTTGGCTTTTGAATTAACCAATCTTGTCCACTGAGCTTTCTCCTGAGCAAGCCCCACCTGTCCATCTGTGGCCAGTGCTTTGGATTCAGATGCATGAAGACACAGCCCTGAGGGCGGTCCCTGATTCAGCTTTCTTCTCGAGAAAACTCCCAGGTGCAAAACTCCCAGAAGGCAACCCAAGGACAGCCCAAACCCCATCTCCACCAAAGCCCACGCAGTCAGTCCCAGGCTCCAAGTGATTCCCCAATCATCCCGCATCTGCCTGCAGTCTGGGCTGGTACTGGATATAACTAGGTTGTTAGGCAGGGGTTACTTGCCAGCCACAAAGAGACAAAAGTCCACACCTAGGGGGTGTAGGGGCTGGAGTAGGACGCCACTGGATGAGACTGCCAGGCCTGGTGGCAGGATGACCTCAGCAACTTCAAGCAGAAGAAGGGGAAAATGAAGGCCCCCAGGGGACTAAACCCTGGCAGGAAGAAGGGAGAAGCAGGAACAGGAGGCTTGAGTACCCTCCCCACCAACCATGCCTGGCTGGGCCTAAGACTGTCCTTGCCTGGGTAGAGGACATAAGTCCCCTGGGGGCCTGACTCGGATGTCGAGGGACTGGGGAGCGCTGGCTGCAGTGGGTGGCAGTCAGGCTCAATGGCAGCCGCAGGCCTTGACCACCATGTTGCGGTGCTTCCGCAGGATGACGTTGTTGCTGCTGTCGTAGTAGAGCACGGAGGTGGCGCTCAGCTTGGTGGGTGCACAGCACGCCTTGGGGACTGCATCTGGCTTCATCAGGTGCACCTGGCCAATGTGGATGCAGGTGGGGGCATCAGTGACCTGCAGCTCCCACCTGCTCCTCACCCTGATCTGTCTCAGGATGGTTCTCAACCTCCCATGTTAGTTTCCTGTGACCAAGGCAGGTGCTAATATGCAGATCTGCCCTCCGCCCACTCAGGGCCCAAACCAGGCACTTGGCACAGCTGTCCAGGCCAACAGGCCAGGAACCACAGGTCCTGGGCTCTTACAGCCTCCTGCCTACTCCCAACCCAGCACTGTTCATTTATGTCCCCAGACGAGGACAACCCTGTGGTCAGTCCCCTGTACACTGTGCACCTGGGACCCTAGAGGGCAGTGGCCATGTGGTCTGCTACCTGGCAGATCATGGAGTCACGGCAGGTCTGGCATCAGGCTGTGGCTGAGCCTTAATGTCCCAGGGACAGTGGCCTGGGAGAAGCTCACACCTGGAGCCTCATCGCTGGAAGCTGCCCCAACACTGGCA